CAAAAGACGATGCAAGTTTATCCTTCACATCTTCTGCAACATCAATAGTTTTACTTTTGGCCTGGGCGAAGGCACGCTGAGTTTTCTGCATTCTTAGTAGAGGAAAACAGCAAATGTTACTGCAACACTTAAAAGTGAACAACTCTAATGACGGTAATATATACTTTATCGTTTTAATAAATGCGTTAAGAAAATCTAAGGGGGCAGAATACTCGAGAATGGGACTAATGGGTGTGACACTTGGGACTTACGTTGCACTTTCACCAATGCGGGTCAATCCCTCCTTTACATCATATGAAATTGTACTAATATCTGTAAGGCCCAATTTTTTCTTTATTTCAGCCAATCGTCTGATCTTTACATTTAGAGCCTCTTTTAGAGTTTGGATATCATCTTCCGTCTATAAATTACTACAAAATGTGAAACCATACAGCAATTAATTCCCTTTCGAGTTCTTCTCTGTTTAGACTATCCCGTTCATCACTTACGGGCTCCGTAAACACAACTTGCGTCTCTTCACCTACGGGCTCCATCTTAATGAGTTCGGCTAAATGATTACGGTAGCAAGCATTTGATCATTGGCTGGTTCGATCAGATCATCTTTTGATTAGCCAAAAGCACAAATTGATAATTCATTTTAGGATCGATTTAGTCTACCCTTTAATTGGGTAAAAATTGCAAAAAGCAAGCTACTTAGGTTGGCTCAGGCTGTATTTCGATCTGGGTATGTCTTCTATTTTTTTTTGAATCAATCACACCGACATCTTATTTTATATACTTTTCAAGTCACGAAAATTTACGACAACTAGTAATATCCATTTAAAACTCTTATATATTTTCTTTTTTTAAATTGGGTGCCTTATATAGGCCAAGGAATGTGGTGTAATGATTAAATTGTTTAAGTTTAGGTGATCTTCGTTTAATAAAAAATACTACGCCGATTTAAAAATGATTAGACTTTTTAATCCTGATGAAGTGGTAATAAATAATCTCAAACTTTTGCTGGTCAGTGGAGAAGTTCTTCTGACGTTTCCTTTGCTGATTTTTATGCTGCGCCAAGATTCACGCGAATAAACATTACCGATTTAGTTTCGGAACAAGAAAATTGAATTGTCAAAGTTACGGTTAATTAACTAAGCTAAATTGTGTTTAAAATGTTCAAACTCTTTAAAAAAGTATGAAGGTTAATTCAGGAACTTTAATTATCAAGACATAAACGTTGTCGTACCCTTAACTCCAAAATTTTTTAAGCATCGTAACACTTTGCCTCAAATTTTATGAAGGCACACATTCCGCGCCGTAATTTGAGTGTTTTTATTCAATGCTATAAATTCATATTTTGTATCAGCATTAATCCTTATTTGTGATTTAGCGTGTGACTTATTGCCACCAGTTTAATCGATAGCTCAGCTTACATTGAAATTGTACCTAACTAATCGTCTTTTTTAATAAGTTTCATCAACTTTGTTAATGGGTCTTTTACTTTACACTGCAAACATTAACCGAAATCCCGAAAAATTAGAGAGTTTTTGAAATGGTATACGCATAATCCATAGAAAGTACGGCTCTTTAACAAAATTTAGTAACAATGTTGTGCATAGGGAAAACATTTAGTTGATGCCATTATGACTGAATCTACATTTTTTCTTTCATATACTGCAGCCCTGAGGCAGTTAAGGACTGATTACTTGGAAACGCAGTGTGTGTTTTAACTAATGTTTGAAAGAAAAGTGCTCTAAATTTTGGTAGCATTAAAGCAGAGGGGTGCTTAGACCATCGAAGAGTTAAAGTCTTATATAGTGATCTTAACAAATTTCTCTCGATTAATCTAAAGCCTGAAATTAGGTACAATTTGGGGTTGCTTCAAGGGTCTTTGTGTAAACAGTGTTTCTTATCATTCACCTTGAACTAGTTGCGCCATGTTAAAGTAGTAAAGGTCCTTTAACCTATCTAGAGTGGAGCTATAGATTGCTTTTCTGCATGCTGCTCTCGAATGTCTTAAGTGGGTGACTGAATTATCCAGCGAAATTGGAGTCCAGCAGTTTCACACCTCATTTCAATAAAAGTGAATGCCAGGGAAATTACAAAAATTATGTTTTTGAAATAATGACGTGAAATGGTTGAGGCTAGTTTTTGCCTTCATAAAGACATCATTTCAGCATTTAATTCAAAAGCATTTTCATTACTCTTAATTTCAATTCAGTTTGCTTTTTTGGTAATTATCCCTGTGATGGAAATTTGTTAAAATATACTGAAATGAATCATGTCTAAAAAAGATTTGCGTACATTAGTAATTTGCTCAAAATAATCGAGAAGACGCAAAAAATGACTGAACCTAACCGATTTTCTTCTACAGATGCCTGCTAGCTGAAATCAAATCACTAGCCTGATTGAAATAGTGAGAGCTAACTGACAGTGAAATAATGTTGTAATGTGAAAAGTAGTGGAGACTGTCGAAAAGCCGTTAAGGGGGTACCCCAACGAAGTAAATTTTGCTAGATAATCTTTTTTTAAGTGATCTAGCCCTTTAGAAGGCGGTGTAAAACAATAGTATGGTCGAAATGAGATTAAGTTAATTTAGTAAACAGGTATTTGTTGTTTCGATTGCAATGTGACTCGTCATTCTACACATTTTCTGAGCTGAAAATCCGTTAACAACAATAAATGGTAATTGTTTACCTTTGAATGCTCCGTTCCTTTCCAAAGGATGGTAAAGGTATGGTGACTGCCAAGGAATTTTATTTTTAAAAATGAGAATATTAGAAAAACACACTCCACCTTGGGAATATATACAAAGAGGACGAATTAGGACAAGATTTCGAAATTATAAATTCATTAGACAAAGTTTGATATGCTGCATTACATTAAAGCACCTTCATTGTAAATGGAATATTCTGACTTACTTTCCATTTTGTCTTAACGGATGTCATTCCCAGTGGCACTACAAAGAAACAGCCGATTATATCCAATACTCCATCTAGTTCAATAAGCTGTTCATTAAGGAGGCCACAAATATAGGGGGGAATCCATTACTAAAATTGTATCATAATTTTTCCAAATTGTAGTATTAGCACTTCAGTTTCCACTGACATTCTCTGCCTTCTGGCCTTGCTCCTAAATAGATAAATGAACCAGCGCAATTCTGATCTAAATTCTAACAACCTCAGTCTCTAAATTTTATGCTATAAATGGAGTCGCGTCTTGTTTCGTGAAGACTTTTTTGCTAATGTGTTATTGAATAATAAGCAACCTTTAAATCGCTGAAAACTAGGCCCTAAAATTATGCAATTTAATGAACTCAAGATGTATGTAGTCCTTCGGGAAACATTTCTAGGTAGAGTCAGGGTTGCATATAATCTTTTCAATCTATGTCGACCATTTTCCTAAGACTAAAGGTAGGGCAGCCGAGGCCTTTTATTACTTAGTGCACACATTTTGCGTTCATGACTCCGTTTATGTGCACTGAGTTCTAACAGCTTGACTCAAACTAGCATGCTTGATAAATTCAGAACAAAGCTTGTAATTTACCCTCATGCTAACTTAGTGCCAATCGACTGTACAGCTAAAAAAAAGGGATTTTTGAAACAAAAGCTGATTCGTGAAATTCTTCATGTGTCTGATGGCAACTTTGTGTTTTAACAAGGCGAGAGGGGTACATGCACCAAAAAAGCATTTATCGAACGTTCCTGGGGCACGACATTATATAACTAGATTTTCACCAACCAAACGCTTTGATGGATTGTCTGGGTTGAGTTGGTGCCCTACGGTCTGGTCCAGCCTGGAAACGTGTTCACTGTCAAACTTGTGATATTGGCACAAACATGAATACTAATGTGTGATGTGAGTGCTGCCACATATCTCCTATGTTTAACGTCAAGCGTCATCGCCTTCTGGCTACCTTCATTGAAAATTTAGTGAACTACAAATCATTTACAATGCGTGGCTTGGTCGAACACAACTGTCAACAAAAGTGTACTGAGGCATTCCAGGTGGCTTGTTACAAGTGAATGTGAGTAATGGCTTCTCGTGAGGCCACGTGGCAGGAGTTACATGTACCGACATTGTAATATCACATTTGTTCAAAGACCTATGGCAAACATGTTGAGCTTTGGCATGTATGTGCAGTTTTTGCTTATTGACATTAGAAATTCTATTTATGCTCCAGGCAGCTGGAGTTTCCATTACTATTTAATTCGCATAGATATTTTAGTTAAGTAACAGCAGTTAAACCAACAGGTTTTGGGATGTGTAGGGGCTTAGTAAACCAATTTAATCCATGCCACACACGCATTTGATGTACTCTATCATCACTGTTCTATTGAAAAGGCCGTGTTATTGGTTTTTGAACTGATCTCAGCGTGAAAATTGTTTGTGCTGGAACACCAAGGTGTCCGATTTTTAAAGTTGAGGAGAGAATTTGGACCAAAATGGTTACATTATGTATCCCAGTCCAATACATTCCTACTTCTCATCGTTGAGGCCCATAAATGGTCAAAAATGCCTGTGTCCATGTGCATTGTCACATTTATATTGTACTAATCAGCACGTAAATAATCTTACCAGATATGAACGATAGTGAATTTGAGTTCCATGGGTCCTTACGAAGCAAAGTTCGTTCAGGGATTTGAACTTAATGTGTACCAATTTTACTGACATCACAAAAATATATCCATTCTCCTACTGACCCAATAAACGGTTGGGTCTCCGTCGTCCCGGTCTTCTTTCTTCTTTTGTCTGCCAATACATTAAAAAATTGGTGACCCCAATGTGACAATAAAACGCGACCATCGAATCTTGAGTACCATGCAACCTTCAATTTGATTTATAATTTCAGAATGAATGCAAAACTAATCAGGTAAGATAATTGTAAACGCACTTGCTTATAATCTTCTTTCTTTTGACGCGATTTGTGAGCCCTTAATTTGTGCATAAATTCAAAAGCATATTAACTTGAAGCGAACGTGCATGCAAGCAATGCAGTCCAAAAAAATCTTAAAAAAACTAACAAACCTAACGACCAAACGTTGCTGAAACTCTGCATAGCTTCTTTCGATGAAAATTACGTTGGGCATGGAATTTAGGCGTTTTGAACCAAATTTTGGCAATCGAAAGCGCAGTTTTTTAACTTAATTGGTGATTAAGATGTAATGTACTGCAACCAAAATCTGGAAAGAAATGCGGGCTGTAGCACGTGAATCAATTCATCTAAAGTGCTATGTTCCTAAAGTTATCAATTTTGAGCTCAGAAATTGCTTAGCATAGTCAATTCCGCATTCGATACTTAGGGATCTTAATTGTTGTATCTACATTGGGTGCATAGTGACGGATTTGTTCGATGTGAGAAATCTGTGTTCTTGATTGCATGATACCTCACTTTTTTAAATTATGAGGGGAAGAGGGATTTCCAGAAGAAAGTTTAGCAAAACATGGTTATGCATTGACCGATTCTGTTCATAATTATTAATTTTTTTTTGAATAGAGTCAGGAGCACTTTGTATTTTCTATCAATTTTAAGTCTAACATTTATTTTAGCGTCTGAGTCTGACTAAATTTAGCGATTAAATTTTATTTTTTAGTAGTTTACGAAAGATGATTAACACAGACGCTTTAAGGGTTGATAGGCTATTTATGAGTTCATATATGCAAATTTTCCACAGCTCATAATTTTTACTTTTTAAACGACGATTGCGTCTCCTATCCTGTCTGATATCTCCGTTCCTCGTACCTCCGACGTCCACCTCTGTGATGCGTCTTTGTACCTTCGACTTGAGCGTTATTGTTCATCACCTGACGTTCATCCGGATTTCGAAGCCTATTGGTTTTCTTAGTTGAAATAAACAAATTTTGATTTGCAGTGGTATAATTTATATGACGTCACCCCATTAGCAGTATTCTTAAAAGTAATCAACGCCACGAGAGTCATGTAGACGAACGGGAGTAACAACAAAATACGTTTGTTGAAGAAATCATTGACACACAAATAACAGCTTTGACGTGCTAATGGACTCATCGCTTTAGGAATTAGAAAGCAAAAATAACCCTACCCTACGTATGCATTAAGAACTAAGCTGAAGATGCAACAGTGCCGGATGCTTGTTTTTCCTCAAATGACGAAACGCTGCATTAACATAATGGGGGTAAGTCGTGGAATAATGAGTGCCATTCAGTATCTTGAGAATTCGTGTCGATCAAATTCTAATCTGAAGCCCATGTCTCAACGGTGGCTTGGAATAGGATTTTGCCATCCGATTTTTTATTTATCGTCTCGCTTAGCTTACTTGGACAAATAATTGGAATATTTCACTAAGTGTATATTCTTTAGGATGGGCCCCTCATTGTCTCACACAGGTGCTTCCTAAAGCACAAGCGGTGCAGCCTGTGCCGATAACCAAGATACGTACTTGACAAGACACCTCTGGGGTCGCAGGTATTAGTAATCCAACAAATTCTTATTTGTTTTAGTACCTGTGGTCAAATTCGGATAATAGCTGCACCGCACAGAACGAAGCCTGCTAGCTGTTTAAACAAAATGGCCTTTGCCAGTACGACAGTGTGGACATAAACAAGACTGATGTGTATGTGCGCATGTGTGCACGCCTGGAAGCCTAACGGTCGTTCTGAGCGCACTCGGCATTGAAGAAGAGTTAGGACAATTTATCTGGCAAATTGTGAGGTCTACGAAGGCCAACGAAATTACTTTGCTTCTGCGCTAAATCGTTCACCATTAACTCCAGGGCTTTAGTTACGAAAAGTAGAACAACGCAGAAATGAGTTGTATTTGTCAGTAACTGGATGACAAAATATTTCAGCGCAGTTTTGTCAAAGGAACTTTCGTGAATTGCAGTTTCTGTGTTATTCTGTCACCAGATTTTTGCAAAACGACTGAGAAAACCCAAAGCACAACGTGATTGTCAGCAAATTTCTTCCATTTGAATAAACATGCCGTTGTGGGGCGAGAATTTGAAATGCCAGTGATTTTGTCACACGGATCCCAAGAGCCAAATGTAGGCAGATACATTTAAATCCTAGGTTTAGCTAATCACCTGATACAAAAAGCGTCCAAATTTCCAACAGTAAATTTTCTTGCACAATTATTGGGATGCAAACTGGGTTGTGTACGAACCCTTCAGTTTTAATCGAAACGAAAATAAAATTCATCGAGGCTATCTGCTTGAAAGGGGATTAAGGGTAGTCTAACCTTGAAAGGTTCTGCGAACGCACCGCTTCTCCTGAAAAAAAATTCGGATGGATCGTGAAAGGGCAAATAATTATACCTTAGGTGCTTTTCCCTCTTTTGCATGCACTTACTGTAAACTGAACTAAATCTAATTAATTGGCCTTCTGTTTGGAGAACTTCTATAGAGAGCAAAGAAATTTAAATACAGTAAGAATTAATTAAAGTTTGCTTCAAAGTTTGTGTGTAAACGCCCGTTTTGGTAGTGATCTTTGGATGTTTCAAGTAAAAGTGAATTTACGTCTAAAATTTAAGTCCACATGATATTCTGTCTAATGGTATTTCACTCAGGCCACTTAGTAAGCATTCTTTGAGCAGCTACATTTTCAGAGAACACTCCATTGCATAAACGAATGGCTTTAAAATATATTAGGTGCGTACTAAATGAACGATTTAAATTTGGTTTAAGAGTGACGCACAAAAACAGCATCAACGTCAATGATGTATGTGAATTACAATTTGAAAGTTATGGTTTACTTTTGAACGTAAAAATAGCATCATAGTATGACGCACAAAAGCCAGCTTGATGTGTATTAAAACGGTCTAAACACTATGTAATTTGGCTCTTCAGTCAACTGAAACTAATCTTAAAATATTGTCGCTTGTCATTCGATGATGTAGAAAAAAATCGCGTCGTCGTATACTTTTGAGTCACCAAGCTGATTTACCTGGCTTTAACACAATCATATGTTTGGGTGTGACTCATAGAGTGAAGCGTTGCAATGTCAAAACGAAGCGATTAAATCATCAAAACTGGACAGTGCAGATCAGTGGGAAGCAAGTGTACCTGAAAACTAGCATTCACAATTTGTCATTTATTTTTGTTTCTAGTTCCAAATTGCCTACAATAAATGATAAACAAATACTTCAGTTGGTGATAAGGGTTCTTGTAGTGGGGTTAGTTATCGGGATGAGAGACCCAATTGTTGACTAACAAATAGTAAGCCAGTCTCCCTGGTTTGGTTTCATATAAAGCTTACAGGTATGAAATTCACCTTTTTTTCTATGCAATGATATAAGGTTTCTGTTATTAAAAGTATGTACTTACAAATATTTGGTTCAAATAACCTAACTTAGCAAGTTGGCTGATTTGTTTACAGTTAAAACCGTCACTCTTCGTAAGAAACTCATGTAAGCTGCTTTCCGTAGATGCAGAGTAAATATAAAAAGTATTTGCTAATAGCAAATCTTAAAAGAGAAGCTAATTGAAAAGAAACATGCAAGAACGGTCCTTTCTGTGAATCATCACTTTGTGTTAAGAAAATTTATAGCAGACTTAATCTGATTAAACTAGTTTTTTCAAGCAGCCAATATTTCATTAAACAATTACGGATTTTACGTCATCTATAAAAGAGCAAACACCATAAAACTGTCTAACCATACATGCTTGAAATCTCACGCTAACATCTATGAACGATTGCTTCAAACTTGTTAACTGGCTCTTTTCAGGTCAAAATATTACTAGACCAGGGTCGTGTAAGGAATGGAGGTCATCTTGAATTGGCTGAATTGCCCTAATTAAGACCTGCCCCAATAACGGATATTGAAGAATTATAAAGTTGCATCGGTGGTCGTTTGGCTAGGAAACCTAAATGGTAATAAAGATCGTCGATACTGATTTATTTGATTCATTTAGTTTATGAAACTGTTGAACCAACTGAAGTCGTTAGGGGCAATAAAATTATTTTGAAAGATTCAGGTAAAGATAAAACAAAAAATATCCTAATTTCTTGGACGAACTTGCAAGAACTGAGAGGAACCTTGTATTTCTTCAATGAAAGTTAAAGGTTTTACCCACGTGCTTAAAGTGGAAAACTTCTATGAAGCGGCTATATCAGAGCCCCAAAGACACTTGCAACTTTCTGTAAGTAAACCGTGAAATCCGTTAAGACCCAAATTGTGGAAAATACTTTTCACTTGAATCAGTGTCGGCGCAATTAAGTACCGCAATGTTTCATTTGCCGCGCCTATAACGCAGGTTCCAGGGTGTATCCAGTGTTTTAATTTCTAGGATTTTACACCAGTGGTACTTATATAGTGAGCATTTTTAATTATGTATGAAATATAAGTGGAGTTAATCGCCTAGATATGTTCAAGGAGGTTATAAATTACCATTCATTGTGTTTGGGGTTAAATGCTTTGTAAATGGACTAACTTAAACTTAGACTGAAACCTGGGTAAGTTTACGATTTCATGAGTTGACCCATAATTAAACAAATTTAGTGAATGTTCAGGTTTCCAAAATCTAGAATAAGGCTAGTCATAACTTGAAGCAAGTCTGAAATATTGCGTGAACTTAGAGGAACTTAATCATCCGACTTAAATGGTACCTACAGAACAAAAGGAAAGCAGATTTTTTAACTTTTTAATAGAATATAATGGGAGACAGGTAGATAAATGGTTCATTTATAAAATGGAGTGATAACAGGCCATGTTGGCTAAGCGGAAGTGCCCGTGTTTGATTCGTAAAACATGCGTGCCGTGAAAGCTTTTGGGGGCGTGGGTAGAGATTTGGTGGATAAGTAATCAAAACAAATATATGTAAACTGTAAGGGAGAAAGCCCTTTTGTTAGACGAAATCGTCAAGCCAGTAAAAGTAGTCCATTGGTAAAACAAAGTAGGAAAATATTTGGCCTTTGCTGTCTTTAGTCGTGTTGTTTAGTGGGTCTGTTTGTGTGTATAATGGGGTGTTTCAAACACATAATGTAAGCGTACGGTGAATAAAGCGGAATTTACACACAGAAGAGGGTAGAGAAGATGTCTAGTAAAATCACTATGAAGTGAGACAACAAAAGGATGAAGAAGCGAAAACAATCTTGCCATGGCGATCATGGCAGCCTAGACTAGATACGCTCGGTACAAAGTTTGAGACTCCGGCGCAGAGGCTTGTGATTTGCCAGACTTTGAGTCACATTATGCCACTTCTGCCAACAGGTAGGGCAGAAGTATCGAAAACACTCAAATGCACGGCAAAAATAGACACCAGCAGAAGCAAGACAGTTGTTGCACATTGAATCTTCAAGGAACGGATCGATTTGAAGCGTCTTTGTAAATTTAGTCGTGCGAACCTCCACAAAATTCGCTGTCACCGCACGCACATAGCTACCGTGATTTGAAAAGACGACGCGACCAGAACCTCAAAGGAAAAGAACTCGCACTTAGAAAATTAAAGGAGAATTGGCGTTTTAAGTAAAGAACAAATACCAAAAGATTCAATTTATTGTTGTTAAGGCTTAGCACGAATTTGGTTCGAACAGGCTTTACATGGAAACTCAAGACATATCGAACCCCTAATTTTCTCTGTTAATTTACCTTTTCATCTTTCAAGGATTTTGCACGCTGGGCTAAAATATAAATATATTTCACGTGGTTTATTTTTGCCTAGTCCATTGCGTGCGGTCTGTGTCAACAACACTTCAGACAAGGTCATATTGTTCACATTCTATTAAATTACGTTCGGAATAACTTTGAACCTTTTCAGTGAGACTCTAAACGCCACCATTCGAACACTAATCAACTGTTAGAACGTTAAATATTCTTGAAATAAAGATAATCAGCCAAAAATCAGCATTGCACGGAACAATATTCCGTTTACTCAGATCTCTTGAGCTAAATTCATAGGTCTGCCACTTTTTTTGTATAATGAACTTTTAATAAAATAAGTAGAATCGAAGGCGTCATAGTATTCTAGTTTTTTTGCCTCGAAAACTATTTGCACGCTCACATACCGAGTGCACGAGAAGCATCGTGACAGAATAGACTGGGTTCATTATTTTTTCTGAACTTACTGGCCTTTGAAATAGTCTATTATTGAATCAACGGCAAATACGTGAGCATAAATAGGCACATATTTATGTTGGGGAAAAAGTTGTCAGGGAGCTCACTCACATGGTTAGAACTTTCGAGAAAAGGGAGCCCTCTTTAGAAAACTAAGCTGTCCAAATTGCAAGCACCAAGGCTTTATTTTTAATGCTACACGATCCATGTACAGTCCTAAGGACATTCCAATTTCAGGCCCCATGTATTAAAATTATTGTTATCTCCTTTATTTTGAAATTATATAATAACAAGGGATTTGTTTTATACCAAGGGGTGTGCTTTAAGATAATTTGATGAAACAGAGCCAGTTTATAGGTCACAAAAGCATTTAGATGTAACATTTTAGAAACCATGCTAACAGGATTCAAATAGAATGTTTGTAATCATAGTTAACAAAAGCCATGTAAATTTAACAGCCAAAATCTTCTACCAATTGAATTTATATTACTCGAAACAGCTTGACATTGGCACTTTAACTCGTTCATTCCCACGTTGACTCGGAGTTTTATTATTACCGTTTTGAATGCACGCAACCCAACATAAATATCTGCATTAAACTCACCTATAGGGTACTTGTGCTTGTCTGTATCCAGTGCAGCAAAAATGACGTTGTCGAATAGGTCGTTCATGATTGAGGCAAGAGCTTCAGCAGTGATCATTCCATGAAGAGCGCCAACAAACACCGTGTTGCTTGACTCTAACCTGGCTTGGCTACCACCACGGCTGAACTGGCTGTCACTTATCACCCAAGGAATAACCTTCAAAAGGGTAAAAGGTCTGGTAGAGATTTGGTTGTGAGAGGAAACAGAGAAACTTTCGATACAAGAATATGTGACAGCAAACGTAATTCGTAAAAAAAGTTTGTCAAGTTCAGGCACCTACTATCAGTATCAAAACAGGCATCTTGATTCCCGCCTCATTATACTACCAAAAGGATGTGGAGTGAAAACATTTTTATAAGATCTTCAACTGCTTTGAAAATTTAAAAATGGTAAAAAGTCTAGTATGGAAAAATATGATGAGTTGTAAGGTTGAATTTAAAAAAGGAGAAATACTCATTTGGGTATAATTACGTTAAGGTTGTTTATGAGATTCTTCACTGCCCTGTACTCTTTCTACCACTGACGTTTGTGATTTATTTCAAAGAGGAATAATACCCTTAACAAAAATAACACAAATCGTTCAGAAGTAAAGCATGCTTTTGGATTTTAAAACAACATATCTGGGTTTGAACTTTTACTGGGCAGTGAGAATGCATTGCTGTGACCAACTACTAGTACATACAGATAGCAGTTTGTGATATCGTTACCAGAAAAGTAACATCTGTCCAACTACTCATCAGTCAATTAAACCAATGCACTGTTATGGGAGATTGCAAAACACGCATCTAGCCCAAAAATTTAACTTTTTAATTGCTGTAAACATCAAAGGCATATGAAATATTCGCAGCCTTTAGCCAGTATACCCGCATGTTACAATGACCATCGGCTTCGAGGCTTGCAGGTAATTACACTTTCTGGCGGTTGTGTGCTTAAGCGCGGAGGTCTCAATTGCAAAGAACGCCGATAAAACCTGGATTAGCACTTTTCAAACATGGATATTTTCCTGTGAAAATATGTACATATGTAATGATCGGTTTGCAACCGGGTCATTATTCGTAACAATACGCAACTCCCATTCCTAGTACCGTTTTTGTCCTAACAACACCATAACCATAATTGCTGTTGAAATTTGACTTTAGTACAGGCAAGTACCAGCACTAACAAAAAACAGTGGAACAGCGTTTGCTCTAATTGATGATTGAAGCCTGATAACTTGAACGTTTACATCGAAATTAAATTTAAATTAACAGTAAACTCATAAGTCGAACTTAGTGGACGTGCAAAGTTTTGTTCAGCAAAGAGTAATAATTAATATCCAGTTTGGCTTGAAATACTCCACACAGCCTAGCATTTCCTTAAGCAGAGTAGAAATTGGCCGAAATTCACGCATTGAAATTTGCACCATTACTAAATCGAAATTACGATGACACAGTGGAACTAACATCAATAAAAAGTTTCAAAAAAATGCGTATCAAAAACCAGTTAAAACCACTTAAGATTAATGTTATAGTAATAATTATCTATTTACCATGAATGCATCTCTTTTTGGGTGCATGGTATGTTTACAAGTCAGGAGTCAACTATAAAACACAATTAACACCTTCGTTTATGGAAAAGTGACAAAAAGCCATTGGACATCACCCTAAAGTACGCGAATTATTGACGAGTTTCGAGCCTATAAGCAAACTTCTTTATACATTTGGACACTAATCAAAAATGTTGAAACATTGAGCATTTTTAATACACGTATAAACGATTTCCTCATTTACTCGGACAACATGGGTATCAAATTCTTGAGAAGACACAACTACAAAGTATGTAAGGACACTCGAGTATTGGTGCTTCCGCGAAGTTGAACGCATCAAACGTTTAAGGAAAACAGATGGTTAGCTCTTCGCCACCAACGTCCTCTAGTTTCTAAAGAATAATAACCAAAAGTTTTAATTGCCTCGGTGAGATATCTTTGAACTTCTGATAAGTTTTCCTAAATTCATTACACATTTAGATTATCTTTAATCGATTCCTATTTCTTATTTGACGTCACCGGTTCAATTCACTAATTTACTTGAAACTGAGTAATAGCGGTTTGTAAACGTAGCATCTCATCGTTCACAAAATCGTCTAAAACTGTGTGTATTACGAAAAAACAGCTAATTGGCGTTTTTGTTTCATTGTGAAATAAAGTGAATCTTGGAGTGTTGCGCATGCCATAGTAGGGTTTGATCTTACCTGAACTCCCTTGGCTTTAAACTTCGGTGAAGCGAGTTTGAAATAATCTCCACCAGTCACTGGATCTCGTGAACATGCTGCCAACAAGTCAGCAACGCAGGACTCATGTTCGAACAGCAGGTAACAGTAACCCTTCGGAGCAGTAGAAACCAGTCGATCATTTCCTCCCTCAATACCATGTTGGTGTGAGACGTAACCACCATCCTTTTGAGGCCAGAGGACTGACACATTGCCAAACTGGGAAAAAGTGCCTATAAGATCTTCACTCGTGCATTCCCATGGCACCCCACCAAGAAATACTTTCCTTGAAAAACTCATGGATTTGTAGTTTCTCTGCGGAAGCTTCCCAGTCCAATGATGGATTGTCTCTAGTTTTTGAGAAACATGATCTAAAGATTGAAAACGTATACGGTGAGGAGAAAATCAAGTTTAACTGTTACAATGAGTAAATTTAACTTACTGGCTGAGTTTCTGTATATTGTTGCAGCCCGATCGATGTCTCCTTCGGCGTTCCCTTGACGATGACAGCACGGTCCATGGGAAATCTGGCCTTCATTTAGTTGTCGCCGATGGTAGAGCGAGGAAACTGGAGAATCAATTCCAAAAGTTGGAGAACGACGGAGGCCCCTATTGGTATAGTTCGTAAGGGGACTGTTTGATGTCACTGGATGACTATGGTAGCCATTAGTTTGCATGCTCTTATTGCTATCAATCGTTGCCGCGAGAGCTGTAAGTGTTGAGGTCAGCATATCCATTAGTTGGCTATTGTTCCTCACATTAGCTGAAGAGAGCAGACCAGCGATCGACGATAAGAGACCAGAGTTACTAGTGCCACCAGTTGGCGTTTGTGACTTCGATGTTAGTAATTTGAGCAATGCCTGTTTTTCATTTAGCTGATTGTTATCAATGCTTGCTGCAAGCATATTTAGAGTAGCTGGACTGAGAGCAGCAAGAGCGGCTTGCAGATTCAGCATTTGATTCGTCAAATATTTGTTTGCCGCCACCGTTGAAGTGCTTTGTAATGCGCGTAGGATGGAGATTAGAGAATTCCAGTCGCTTTGGCTTTGTGCTGTGCAGTTATTAGTTGGAACAGGTCTAACTGGGAGAGCAGGAGTGGCTGAGGTATCGGCCAGTAAGGAAAGTAAAATATTATTGAAGCTGTTTGAATTCATATCTGAAAAAATGAAACAGATCGTTTATCAGAACGCATACTTCAAAACAAATGAGCTAAAAAGTAAATACGCTCGAGATTTTATGTAAGAGTTCTAGTCCAAATCTATCGAACGGAGTCGCATTAACTCGAATTGGTAGCGTCTAGAAGATAAGTTACCATTAGCGAATTAACTACGTGGCATTAGCCGCCTTATTGGACAGGCCAGACTGATCTGGAATAACTGCTCACTGAATACTGATCTTTTGGATCGATGTGCCACAGCACCGTTACATCAGGAACGGTTGAATGAATGAATAAATTACGCCGAAGAAGCTATGTTCAACCAAAAAACAAGACAATTCTCAAAAGAAATGTTCATATGGATGCAAACATGTATAATCGAATTATTCTGTTAACCACTGCATATATTTTTTCGGAAAATATGTTAACCAATTTAACTGTTCTGGAAACTGCACAAAAATATTTGAGCACTGCTACAATTTTATCAAGCTAAATATTCGAACACAAGGGTTCCATTTGGTATGAAGGACCCTAGTACAGATCATTGCCAAAATTCACTGATGATAAATTAATTTTTTTAAAACGAATATTTGGAGTGCGTGGGCGTATATAGGCTGTCGGTCATTACTACATTACAAAGCATAACTACTGTTTCAACATAGCGGAATTGAAGCATTTCTACCTTACAGAAAAAGCTTCCATTTTATTGCTGTGCTACCAAATTTTGATATAAATATTGGGCTAGAAGAGTACCAGCAAGTCATTAGCAAGGTAGCTTAGTAATCTATCATTTTCAACACCGTTTTTAATTAAAATTTATACACAACGTTTTGTTATTGCTTAATACGCAAAAAGGAAAATTTTGAGCACCAAAAACAATTTACTCACCACTAATCCCTGAGTTGCTTAGATCAAGCTGACTGAGGAGGGAGCTTAAGAAAGCAATTTGTTGTGTCGTGGAAGAGGAATTGGATCTTAATGATCCCTGAAAAGGCGATTGACTCTGCGATTGTGCCTGCTCAAGTGACGATTTCTCAGTATTATTTAGGTTTGGCGTTGAATCTGACATCACAGAAGCCCTTTGAAGAACCTTTTCAATCGGTTGATCAAGGGTACCTGAGGCTAAGATGGAAGATGTTTTTGGTGACACTTCTGTTGAAATTGGGACCTCGATTCGAGTCGTTCTCCCACTCTCCACTTCAGCTCCATTTATGTGGCTTGTATTGTTGCAATCATTACCTTCTGAGGCACGAGCGCTACTGGATGCTCGACTCGTATGTCCACTACCTCCGTCTGTCAACTCATCCACATACCTTGCCACAGAAGCTAAATTTTCTTCAAGCATTTGGAGATCATTACCGGCACGACAATTCATCACAGGTGTTGAAGTGTAAGCCATAAATTCGTTTCCCGTTGGACGTGAATGAGGATCAGTCAGGTTTAAGAAGCTTTGTGGGGGTGTGCGATGTGACAGAGAGAGCAAATCTAATGACGACGTAGGCGGACTAGAAGCATCTTGGAGAATGCTATCCGATCCACACACGTCAGAAGCCTGCCCTCGCGAGCTATCCACAAATAAGGTTTGACCGTACCTGTCAAGAAACTGATTGACTAGATCGCGATTATTGACTTTAAGATAATTTTGCTGCTGGCGACCTTCAAGCAAACTGTGGTGCAGTCTAAGATAGGCTGGCGACCTTTCCGATCCAAGACCGTTGGATTCGACACTCGCGTCACCATGGAATCCAGTTGTAGGTGAGTAGTGTCCACTGTCTGTCATTAATTGGTCAGACGAGTAGGACGAAGATAAATAGTCGATTTTTGGCCTGTGTATCAAATTTTGCATCGTCTGGGTGCCCACAAGACCCGTTCTTGAAGGCAGTTTTATGTTCCTTGGGATTGGTTTTAGATCGTCAAGTTGCGTACTGGCCTGTGATGTACTTGCAAGGTTATGGACACTGAAGTCGCTTCGCTGTTGAAGTGACGGGTTTTGTACACCACTGGTGTTACTTTCGTTGACGGTGCCGTTAGTACCAGCTAAAATAAAAGTGTAGTGGTTACATTTCAATTGCGCGCGTTTGCCGAATTGGGTGGCTTCTGATTGGTTCGATTTGATCGGTACGCGTGCATGGTGCACAGAGCACACACGAATGCGTGCAAGTCTCAACGGGACCGTGCCTGTGCCGGCGAGTTACACGCATATTTGTACTTAGTGCGCTAGAGTTGGCAATTGTAATGTATGTAGACCGAGTGTGAATCATTTATTGGAGGACCTTCTAATGATGCATCAATGCTGCAAATATAGGAAAAATATACGATTATCCAGCAGTTCTATCGTTTGCATTTTTCAAGAATATCAATGAGCATACCTATGCCTCTAGGGATTCTGAAATGAAGAACATTATCTAAGATATATATGCGATAGCCTCGTGTTTTTAGGTGAGAAAACACTACGCCGAACAAAACTGAAGGAATTTACTATCTTCAGCACGTAACTCTGCAGTGTCTTACCCAGAGAAATGATTTCATTACCATCAATGAGCGCCTAATCTGTTTTTGTTTAATTTCCAGTCCTTTTTTATGCTCCCATGTATCAATCCTAAATCTAGCTGGTGTTCATAGAAAATTCACTTCATCAAAACTATAAAGAAGCAAATAAATCACAACCAATTACGTTCTTGCAACCAAACACAAATTACGTAGCCTATCTTTTTGAGTTTAACTACTGGTTTAAGAAAATGGTTTACTTGTAGCTGCTCCACCGATTTCACAGCTCGTACATGGAAGCATGTTCATTTTTGATTAAAAAACGATACATTGCATGTTTCCTTTTTTTCTGATTAAACAAAAGAACATTAAACTGCTTGAAATATATCACTGGGTTTGTTTATGAATGAAAAATAACCTTGTTGCCAAAATCATTAGAATATCGGGCCGAAAGAGACACTCACCAACGTAACGTGATGAACTACTTTTGGGTATGGATATTGCAGGATCATCCAGCATAAGCCGATCGCCACAATCGTTTGAGGTCCAAATATTTTTAAAATTCATTTTAAAACACAATCCTACTACAGTTGATGTTCTTGTACTCGTGCCAACCACAGTCTTAATTACCAAATAACCGACTGATCGGCGAGCAGTGCTCCTGCAAAGTAAGCTAAAATGAGTTGTATTCATCGACTTAAAAGGCACGAGGCATGAGTACGCAATCGATCAAAAGAATCGATGACCTCTGATTATAGCTCGGATTATGTGCGGCTCTCGCTGAAAGCCTCCATGTACATGTGACACGAGGACGAACGCGAAATTGATGATTTTGTTAGATTGCACTAGGGTGCGCCCAAGAACATCAACATGGTTTATCGCTTTTGAGTAATTTGATGGATAGCTCCATCATTTTCTAGCGGTTAGGATCCCGTATTCGAGGTTCCACAACAGAATTTTTAAGATTTTTTAGGACAGGATTAAGGTATCTTTCTACGCGATGGTTCAATTTGAAAAAATAAATCCTTTCCCTTTCGAAGTCGAAAATTTGGTTAGTCATCATATGCACCAATGTGACTGCAGAAATCAAACAACCCTGCATGACTTAAAGTGGCATGCGACAGAATAAATGCAAAGGCTTTTTTGGAGGACCACAAAGGAAGCTTTTGTAACACAATATGAAATTCCGACTTTTTGACGGGGCGTATGAAATGGCGAGAGTCAATCCAGGCAAATTAATAAATATAATTATAATAGTATCAGAAATCAAAAATGAGCTTACATTAAGCTTCACTTTTCCCCACATGAAAGCAACTTCTAGACTTAGTCTTGTAAAAGTAGCTAGTATGGGGCCAAGGAATTGTTCAACAAATTCATACATCCCGAACTGCCAGTTTTGCATAGTTATGACAGAAAAGAACTTTAAGTCGGACAGTTTGGACCTGACAGACAAGGCTGATGTCTAGTCTATGACCTTGATGATGTACCACAATTCACGCCTAAGACGCATTTCCAGCATGCAAAGTGTTACAACCAATTGCTTCGTGCAAACGTTCCGGCGTTTTAAGCGCTTAATGTTACAGCCAATGTTTTGTTTAGAATAATGACTTCAATAGCATTGTCCATGTGCTCATGCACTGAGTTAGGCACGTTTGCCCACTTTTGATCCTGGCCAGTGAAAGGACCAAAATGCAGATGCAAGAATTCGAGCCGTGAAAACAAGATTTGGTAATTTATTTAGATGCTCGATTAATTACTCTGGGCTTTGTACGAATATTTTGCCATGAAAACCCATAAACATGGCCTTTTGCAATCCAAGCTCCTAACATCTATAAATTGTTTAAATTTGAAACGTGCAGTGGCTCTGTTAATAACTAAATATTTGTTCGTGTTTGTGGCTGGTTCTGCTATTTTGTGAATCTATCTATTAAAACCTGTTTCTCTGACTGTAAAGTGCGCTCAAACACCGTGCCACGAAATTCAGCGCTTAAGGTTATAAAAAACTAAACTGGTCAAGCCGGAAAGACACAATTTGCGTGAAAATGCTCGGCGGAAATTGACTTGCAACGTTCGTCTTATATTTAAACATCCATGATCAGTAAAGTTATCTAGAAGACGTCGCAATGAAATCATTCCACTAAAATTTGTAATGTGAAAACAATAATCCAGACTGTTGTAGTGGTTTTCTTAGCATTTTTAAATTTTTCATAGCTTCCTTTTCTGTGAGGGTAAATTCATGGCGTTTAATTTGCATTTTTTTCAAAAAGATAATTATTTTGCGATGCAACCTTAATGCTATCAGGGCCCACCGGCATTTCGTTTTTTTAGTCGGGTCACTTTACGTCTAAAGGTTTGGTAAAATTTCGACGCGAGAACGCTTAAAATAGTAATTATTTGATCGTGCAATCGTTAAAAAGTCAAAAGTAAAATTGTGCATCTGGCTAAGGAAAAAACAGCAAAAATAAAAATGACCTTACATTATTTAAATGTGTCATACAAGTTAGGGCATGAAAATTGTAGTGTAAATGTGTTTAATGGGTTTAATCGAACGATTTTTTGGGTTTTAACAGCTATTCTAAGCTAAAATCCAATTTTAGTTGTACTAAACATTTTAATGCGAACTAAAATTCACTAAAAGGTTACCAAAATTGATACAATTGATTTCGAGAGTACAGTGAATGTAAACATAGTTTGATGTTTCAAGTTTCCCCATAAATCTTTCCAATTGAGTAGAAAGCTTTTCTTTGCCAAAAAGCACGGTTTGATTTCAGATCTTAAAGCTCTATTTTGGATAACCCATGCTGTTTGGCAGGATCAACATTGAAAGACTAGTTAAAGGATTGAAAATGGCTATTAGTCTATTCTAACAGAGACAGGGTAATAAAGCACTTCCTTAATGTTCATGGCTTTCAGCGTCACTTGGTTCAAGTAGAACTGAGTTAAAGGCAGGGCAGATTAACAATTGAACGAAAAGCCCAGTGACTGATTTTATTTCTGGAAAATCTGCAATTCTCAACTTATGGCGTCTTAGAAGATCAGACGCATTGAATGAGTCATATAGCACACAGTGCATGTGACCTATGTCAAAATTGAAACAGGTACGTTGACATTAAGGAGATAGCAATATCACTTGGTTTGTGTATTCATACAGGCCTTTTCCAATAATTAGTAGCTAAAATGAATCTAGGGCATCAAACTTATCCGAAAAAATAAGATTGAACTATGTGTGAGCTTGAATTGGTACCAAATCGGTATTTGAATCAAGCAAACTAAATGGCGTTAGGAAGGAACGTAATTTGCAGCATTTGTTAAAGGTTCTTCAACTTGGGCTGGTGCCAAACAATCACAAATATTGTGAATTCTGAAGAGAAGAGCACGTGTTTTGGTATGAAGGCCTTTAAGTTACATCAAGCCTCATTGCATATTGATTTTGATTTCAAGAGTTAAAACAGGAGTTTCATAAGACCGAAGTAGTTCTAGTTGACCAAATGTTACTCTCGAAAAAGTGAACACAAAGCAAAGAGAGATTCACTAACAATACAATTGACTAGGCACTACTTAAAAGTTTAATCCTATTCATAGCGTTGAAATTTACTCTTTCAAATAATTAGGATGTGTTCTGCAAAGTTTGGTCCTGCGGGTAGCCCTTATTAAGGCCTCGTGAGGTTCAAATACGGGATGGGGTTTAGTAAAACGTGATTAAACGAAGAACGGGCTTCTAGAGACAATCCAAACGTTGATCAAGAAATGTCTCGGACTTTCAGAAATAAGTATTTGTTGGATTTAATGACCTTATATTAAAATAAATGAAGAACCTGTGTTTTAAACTCACTTTCAGTTAAGCGGGTGTCAAGTTGCTAAAATTCTAAATCGCTTTGATTAATTAAGAAACAAAAATCAAATTACCCACCGTCTTAAAGTTACTCGTTTGTAGGTTTAACAAGTTGCCATAACGTGATACTTTACTTTTTATATTTTGCATTTTTCTTCGTTATAGGATTGCTTTGGATTTTTGCAAGTCCTACACTAAACCGGTCTTTAGAGTCAGGGAATAACTAAAGCCTTCAATTCTGAAATATTTAATAGATCCAATAAAGGACAAGTTATCGTAGGTAATATTCCATATCTGAAGTGCGTTTAATTGAATGAATTAAAGGTAGCCCGGGATTGTCGAGGCGCCAGTATGTGCAGAGGGCAGAAGCCTGGTGAGACGAACTTTACTCAAAAGTGCAAAAGCATGATATCTTTGAGGTTGAGAGACCTTTAGGTTATACGGGACTCTGTTAAACAGATGAAATTAACAAGTCGCCGGCGCAGTGGCACATTAATAAGTTAGAAAGTGCAATGTTAGTTTATGTTAGCATAAGTTGGTAATGCATAGTTCATCTGCATTTCGCTGTCAAGGTCATAAATGCAGAGCCTTGTGACAAACAGTCACAAGAGAATGAACCTAGAACTGGAAAAGGATGATCATTGAACAATTATAGGAAGTGTTTTACTTAACAACTCTTCAAGTACGCTATTAATAAGCGCTTTTTAGGCGAAAGCAATTAGTGCAAAACTCAGAGCGGAATTTGAAAATTATCAAAGACAATTTCATTGATTATCAATGAGTTTTCGGCCAATGGAAATTGCAGTACAGGAGCCGGCGGCACAACCTACTGTTAAAAAATGCGGGTCCCCAGAGCGAAATTGAAAAGATTTCTTTGAATCAATTTTTCCCAAACTAAAGGGTTTCGCTGTATTAGCACCAAAATAGTGTCACACTCCTTCATAATAACTCAATATTTTTTAGAACAAAATTACATGCTTACAAAATTATGGATTTATATTTAAAATCTGACATCTCCCAGCGCTTTCTTCAAAAATTGAGACACTGAAGTACCCAGTTTTCTTATTAATAGTAGTGTTTCTCGTAAGTAAAAATGCAATTAGTTCGTCCCCCAAAATGAAATCGAAGAGTGGCTTTCTTGAAATCATACTTAATGCTAAACAAATTAACTTCTGTTAACCACCAAAAAAGCAACAATGAATCGGTACCTCTAATAAGACTGATAAATGCAAAAGCCGCTTTTTCACAGGTAGGTGGAATGTGCTTAAATAGGGAGCGGTGACTAGTTTATTAAAGAAAACTCGAATCGTTTTAAGATTTATGAATACAATTAAAGCATAAAAGATTACTGCCTCAATGACCAACGCCACCTGTTTAATTTGGAATGCACAAAAATCTTGTGCGGTTTGTGTAATGGCAAAAACGCATAGGTAGCGCTAGTTCTCGAAAGCATCAGCCACTATAACAACCAAAACGAAAGCAAAAAGATGACGAGAAAACTTGGTCACCGCACGTGCACGCATATAAAACGAGTTTTTATCAGCGTCAATGTGTCAGCGCACCTGCATTAGCAGTTAGCCTTGCACTAAACACACAACGATTAGCGGACACGGGCAATCGATTTTGTGACTCGGTTGTGCCAAATACCCCGAGTCACGATTTAAGTAGTGATTACTGAGCCCGTCTC